GTCAGGGAAAACACTGCAGGCCCTGTAATTTTGGGTCCAAACCCACGGCGGATGACATAGTAAGTTATAATGAGTGTTTGTGGCCTTGGGCCCAGTGTGTAAGTGCGTGTCTGTGTGTTTACACACGTACGAGTACAATCTGTAAAGCCAGGTGGGTGCGTCTTAACCCAATTCTTTTGTCACACTGTTGCTGAAAAGCTGGAGTAGCCTTAAGATTGTACAACTGTGGCTTTAAAGTGAAGCCATCCACACTGAAGGGACAAATGTGTGTTTTAAAGTTCAGATTCTGAGTCAAATATGTAGAGGGGGGGAGTGGGGGTGCCATGTCAGTGCACAGCGGGGGGAGCTGGCAGAGACACAGCAGTGATTTGGGTCAGGTTGATTGGAACCAGAACTCTCTGGGGAGAGAGAGAGAGAGAGAGAGAGAGAGAGAGAGAGAGAGAGAGAGAGAGAGAGAGAGAGAGAGACACGAGGTCAGGTAGGAGGACTATAAAAGCCCTCCTTCCTTTACTGCAACAAGCACTTAATGTCAATCTGGACTGAGCTGCAGGTTTGGGTATGCACTTGCAACTCTGAGGCAGAAGTATGTGCGAACAAGTGTGCTGAGGTAAGTGCATTTGTTTATTTACATTATTGCTATTTCTTTGCGCATCTTTTTTGTTGCATGTTCTTTATTTCACAGGAAAAGATGATGAAACAGGTATATAATCCTTATTAGATTAAGAACACACATTTTGCAAGCTTTTAGCCCAAAAAGTACAAGTTTTCATTCTATTCTACTCCTGACCTTTTCACCTCATGTATTTTGAAATGTCCTCAGGGGAGACAACAAGGAGAGCTCATGCACAGCAGTCTGCTTCTTTCTGCAATTTGCGTGACTGAGAGGAAAAAATGTGTGAACTGTGCTGAGGTAAGTGCATGTATGCTTGTACATTATCTGCTAAAAACACCAGATGTACTGCATTGGATTGAATGTGCATATATATGGACTACAGTATTAAAGTTTTCTAGCAAAACTTTTTTATACTGCTTTTGTCTGATAAAATGTACAATCATTTATTATTTTCTGCACATAAAGGACTTTGAAAAACTACATTTCTGTGTTCTTTTTTCTCACACACAAGCAGGACATAGAGCTCGACTTGCCAAAAGATGAGAACGTTCCAGGAAATTTTGGTCTGTTTACTCCTCCTCTGTTGTGTCTGCTTGACTGAGTGTCGAGTGCTGAAGTTCGTCGTTGCTGTAAGTGTGTCATGTTTTTTTCCTCCTTCCTGTGCACATATGACTTTTTGACTATGTAGCTGTTTTTCATGAAAGCGTTCTTCCGGCTGTGTAATCGCATGCTAAGATGTTTATACATTACTGACAGGGTTTATTTGTCAAACGCTGTAGTGTGAGCTTCATCCTGAAGCCACTTCACATCTCTAAAGAGTGACATTACTGTACATTGTTGCTGATTACACTGTATTTTTTCTGCTCACTGAGCATTACTATATTTACACATATTATGTCTCAAAGGATTACTCTGAGCCCAAACTCCAACAGTTTTGAGCATATCTCTCCCAGACACTGCAGCTTTGTTCGTAAACCCCTTTGCATATCTGTCTTTTTACACCATAGTGCAATGATGGAATGAAAAAAACAGTTTGAGGATTTTAGAGAAAAGCACAAATGTTATTCTTATCAAAGGACCATTTTGTATGAATATTTAACCTTTTATAAAAACGGTGACCTAAAACACGTTTAATACATGTAGTCTTTGATATAAATGTATGTCTTGCAGTACTACAATAATAATCTGTCTGTTGTATTTTCAGTGTACAACAGTATAGTTAAGTTTACTTCTAGCTTACAAGTAGTCTTTGTCAACTGTTTAAACAGTTTCTTTGTATTCTTTCTCTGTTATTGCAAGGTCATTTATTTGGTTTTGCATTATTTTTGTTAGCCTTTTATATTTTTAAAGTGCTTTATTTCAATCATATTGATCTGTTTTTGTCAAGTTCAGTACTTAGACGATTTGTGCTTTTGAGGACAGTTAGTTTTGAAAAAAGAAAAAAGGAAACATCTCTAAAAGCAAAACACATCTTTGTTGGCCTGACTTTGTAGGATCGTTTGGTTTTACAGGAGTGACTCACATGTCCATAATCTTGTGAAGTTTGCCTGTGTGACGTCACTCAGGTTAATAATACACCTGAATCAGTGTATAATGTCATCGTCTAAATTACTCTTCTGTGCCTCAAATCATCACTGCACTGTCCAAGATCACAGGTTTCTATTTCTGGTTCCTGTGTCAGGCTGTATTTCCCCCCCTTAAAGTACACCGTGTAATGGCTGTCACTCACTGCAGCATGGCGTCCCAACTGAATCCATGTGATATAATGTGTTTTGACTTTTAAGGTGTTCCGACACGGAGATCGATCGCCGATTGAGTCATATCCCAAAGACCCTCATGGGGAGGAAGTGTGGGCTCAGGGTTTTGGACAGCTGACTGAGGTACAGGATGTTACTATGTGTGTTTGTGTGCCTGTTCATTATTACTTTATCAAGCGGGATTTGGCTGACAAAACAAGCACAAATTAAAGACTTGGAATTTTGGCATACATAAAATCATCCATCATATTCCTATTTATATCAAGTTCAAAGGAAGTTCACCAAGCTTCAAGGCGAATTCAACCACAGACTGTAAATATTAAGAATTCAACATGTTTTCATGCAGGACAATTTTGTACTGTAACTCTGTTAAAATATTTTTCTGGGACTCTGACTTATTTTTTTATTCAACAGCATCACAGTTATAAAACAACTAAAAAGAAACTGGACTGAGAAACTCTGTAGGGACATCAGGTCTTATAGGAATATACATTTTTGACTCATTAGCTATCGTTTGACAACAGCTAATCTTTACCACATTCTCGTTCACAATTTAAGTTTAAATGTGTTATGATATATGATAGGAGAGGCTCAAATCCCTTGTGATGCTAATTTAAGTTAGCTAGGAACAGTGATAGCTAATTCATTTCATGCTAATGCTATGTTTGGGGCTTAGCTATTTGAGCCTTTTATCATAACTTAAAAGAAGAGTAACTGTGAAAATCTAAAGAGACATCAGGCCTTTGACTGACTCAGTTAGCATTAAGCTATATCCAAGCTAACACAAGTATTCAATGGTGTTACAAGCGATGATAGAAAATACATATATTCCTAGCTAACAGTAGCATTAGTTAAGGTTAATGTTACCTTTTCTGGCTTAGCTGTCTGTTATAAATATGTAGTTATACCTTAAAATATGGCCATGCATAAAATTAACCAATAACTGAATCTGAGTTCCTTCCCAGAGAAAATGGAGGCTGAGAGATGGGGCTACAGGAAATGCTAATAGCTTTTTTCTTTTTTTCTTTTTTTTGCTTCATGAACTTACCTTCAGGCGCTGGATCAAGTTCTTGTTCAAATGAATTGAAACTCAAATATCTGTTAAATGCTGTTCAGGGCTTGGGTATGGTGGACCAGAGTTTCAAAACAGTATATTCTGTATATATTAACAAAATGTAGCTTTAAAAAATTAAATTAATTTAGAAAAAACATCAAGAACAGACCAGTATACAGTATTTCACTTGTGATGCGTAAAGCATAAAAAACGTTTAAAAAATCAATTTCCATCTTGAGATGGAAGAAAAACTTCATGCAAACTTTGAATTAAACAATGTCCTATTGTGACATTGTTCTGCTCTGAAGCAATTAGTCAATTTACAGTGAATATATTTATTAGTCCTGGTTTTATAGGTCCTTGTAGACGGGCTATTTTATGTAAAAAAAAAAAAAAAAAAAAGAAGTTGAATCTGACCTTAAATCTAACAAATCTTTTACTAAAGGTCAGATTTGACAAAAATGAACGGTGCTGCAAATTTCCTTCCAGCTGGGCATGAAACAACAGTTTGAGCTGGGCAGCTTTCTGAGGAGGCGATATGGAAACTTTCTCAGTGAAGACTACAACAACAAAGAGGTTGGTGTATTTCTACATACATATGTCTGTTTATGTCAGAGCCACCAAATGTTGTCAAGTGTGCAACGTACAAAATGTGTTTCACGTGTGGCAAAACGTCCTTCAGAATAGCTGTAACAACATACATTAAGTTAATGAGCATGACTCCTATGGGTGATATCACTGTCATGGCCTGTTTAAGACTGTTACACGTGGGCTAATGCTGCCCCTGGGCTTCGTGTACAGTGCAGTTGGCAGCATGCATGTTGGTTCAGTGTGCCCTGGGGCTGCATGCTCAGCACAGTCATTATGAAGATATGATTTAGGCTTTTATTCCCTCCCTTTTTTTCCCTTTCCCTCCCTTTGTACAGTCCTCTCCCTCCTCTCTTAAATAACACCATTATCCAAAAAGTAACAACTCTCTTCACTACTTGTCATGGTTGATTTGTCGCCCAACTCTCCATCAACTTGTCCCCTACCTTTCTCTGTGCTGCCATGTTTGTTTTAATTTGACAAAAGGGCTGCAAAAAAAAAGGGAAAGGGAGGACAAAAAAAAATCATTCTCGGCATCACAGGAACATCCAACCTTATCAGTGTGATTTACTGTGTGCAAAAACCTGACACCGGGTGACAGAGAGATATAGACGAGCAAAGGCTGATGTCAGAAGAGATCACTGTGAGAAGGGTCTTTTATTCCTCCCTCCCTCTCTCATCTATTTGGATCTTCTTTTGACTCCCCCTCCTCTTCATGTTAAGGGAATACCTCGGTTGACTTGAGAAAAATACAGACAGCTCATGATACACTACAGCGTGCCGGCTGCATTTATTTGCATCTTTATTACAATAAAAATAGAAACAAGAGAATGTACAAGGATTCAAATGCAATCCTTATGAGTTTGAGTGCATTTGAACTTTTTATTTAAAGCCTGAGAGTCCCATCTGATATCAAACACAATCAGTCTCATGTCGCATACCTGCAAACATTTTAAACTCATGTTATGTTTGTTCTTTCACCAGTTTTACGTCCGGAGCACCGACTACGATCGTACTCTAATGAGCGCCCAGGCCTGCCTTGCAGGGATGTTCCCGCCAACCAGACGCCCGCCTCCCATCATGCCCCAGTTACTTTGGCGGCCTATTCCAGTGCACACCATCCCCAGAGCCCAAGACAAGGTGTGCTGCAGAGCCACATAAATATTTCCTCTCTCACACACACATAACACAGCAGAATAGAATTTCCTCCAAGTTTTCTCGAGTTTCTCTCTGCTGCTCCATGTTTTTGTTTTTGTGTGTTCACCTCCACCTTGTACCTGTCGTGCCCTCCTGTTTTAAAGTGTGAAATGGACATATAATTGTGCCCAGAAGACTTGCAGTAGCTGAAGTAAACGTGTGCTGTTTCCACTCATGTTCTGCTGTTGCTTTTTTCTATTTTTGAAGCTGCTGAGGTCTCCGGGCAAAGACTGTCCGAGGTTCAGAGCTCTGATGTCAGAGACATTTGAGAGTCAGCCCTACCAGAGGTTCCTCAGGGCTCACCGGGTGAGAAACCAAAGAGGAAGTCCTCTGAATAACTCATTCTAAATGACCTGAAGGCTCTAATCACAGTTTAGCATCACTTTGAAATGATTCATGGACCTGAAAATCACAAAAAAACCTGCTTTCTTGCTCTTGTTTTTCCCAGGACTGGATTATATAATCAAAATTGCGGTGATTAATTGTCTTTTTGTAAGCCTCAGCTGTTTCTCTTTGCTTATCCATGCCCGTATTTGTAAATTAACAAACACTGTGAAAGCACATTTCTCAGCAGAGTGAAATATATACTTCACAGTTTATGGTGCCAATGTGATCAGCACCTCCAGTGGACGTGTTAGTGACGCCGTAGACATCGTGTCCTTGCAGTGATTTTTTTTTTCTCAGGCACGGTGACTCCAGTGCCTCGAAAAAGCTGCACAGTGCAATTTCTCTCACATTCTCAGAGACGCTAATTAACGCTTAGACTGAATTAGATTAAAAATTACAATGAAAACGTTTTAATTAAACTGAGTCCCATGTGTTGCCTATTAAGGTGGAGTTTGAGATCAGCACAGGGCCTCCTGCATTGAATTTTAACTCCCTCTGCTGGAGGCACATCACCTGCAAGTCACACAGGAGAACTGAGGCCTTTTTCATCAAGGATGGATTTACAACAACAAACAACCCTCCTTATCCATAAAACAAAACCAAATATGTCTGCAACGTCTGTTCTAACTAGTCATTTTCTATCAGTGCTTTACAAAACAATACCTAAACCCAAAGATTTCCATTTTAAAAGATATAATAATCTAATAAACTAATAAAGTAGAATGAAGATTTGAAAGCAAACTAGAAGTTTCCATCTTGTGGAGCTCTTGACCTGGTACTGAAAAAGGGCACTGTTTGGTTTTGGCCACTTGTCATGAATCACATATTTAAGAGTCCTAAGCCGTAAAATATTGATAAAAATATTTTTTGCTCAATTTCCCTCTTCTGGACCTGTTAAATATCTTACAACCCTCAAGATTGAAATATTTATATTGTGATCCAGCTTGGGAACCTTTGGTGTGCAGTGGAAAAGTCAGTCCAAAAAATAAATAAATAATAGAACTACTTTTTTACTCTTAAATTTAAACTATGTTTGTGTGTTTGGTGCATTAACAATCGCATAAAAGGCAAGTACAATTATTTCTGTTGCGTAAAATTGTAAAAGAGGGAAACCTCAGTGTCCTTTCGAGAATAAATAAATGTTTGAAAAAAAGGTATAAAAGTGCCAGCTTAAACGCAGAACTTCAACTTTTTTTTTCAACTTCAACTTAATTTATGTATCACTGATTGCACAGCTCTGGACAGCTCCCCATGTCAATTCTGTCCTGCACAGTTACATCTACCTCCAGCTAAGAGTGTTATATTTAATCTTTCTTATTTAAGACTAGTAATGCTTAGTTAAGTCTTGGTTGTATATATTCTCATTCTTAGTTTTGATATTTTTAGTGCTTATTTACTTTGTATTTAATATTATATTGTGTTTTTTGCTAATATTGTGTGTTTGGATAACATGCTGCTGTAACGCCACAATTTCCCAGTTTGGGATTAATAAAGTAATTCTATTCTATTCTATTTGTATGGGTTATTTTAAAGTTACTATCTGCATACTTAAACACAATCAGGGGATGAGCTATTTCTCATGTTATTATGTTCTAAGTTTTTCCCCTCTCTGTGCAGTACTTTGTGGAAGGACTCTCCAATCATACTGGCTACCCGGTCTCCAAACTGGTCGGCAAAAAAATATGGAGGGTCTACGACACTCTCACCTGTCAGGTATTCCTGATATTTGAACCATATTCTGTATTTGTAATGCTTCAGTTACTGTTACAAACACTGAGAGCAGAACAGTTATGTCGGAGTTGAACAGAAAAAGAGAATCTGCAGAGAAATGAGGAGGGGTGCTGAAGCACAGAGAAATCTTCTTTTATACACACAGTAAGACATTGAAATAGTAATTACAGCTTTATAATTTAGGTGGATTCTAGGCCAGGTTGTATGTGCTCATTCACACTTGCAAAATGAGCATCTGTTATCTTCAGACCGGCTCTAAAAATAGGACGGGGATAATAGACAGGATAATAGAAACGATGAAATACAGCCATTTAAAGCCCTATTGTTACCATTTATATTCTGTGTAATGTGATTATTAGCGTGTTGCAGTGTAATGGATCTTATGTCTTGGTGCAGAGGATCCATAACTTGACTCTCCCACGCTGGGCCACCCAAGATGTTCTGGACACCCTGAAGCGAGTGGCATCGTTCGAGGTCATGTTCAGCATCCTCAGTCACAAGCGCAAAGAGAAGGCCCGGCTCTCGGGAGGTGAGGACTCACATTAGAGGCAATTAATTTAAAAGCAGAGAGGAATATTAGAAAGAGCAGACTGTTTAATGTTGTGACTGCTGGCCGAGGCTTTGTTTATGCTGGGCCGGAGTTCCCAAAAGCACATTTGCACATATGAGCTAATGGGACGAAGATGATTATAGTGCTAAGACAAGACACTCAATAAGGTCAAAGGGATTGTGTTGGTGTGGGGAAATTTCATTTGCACTGTTGACTCTGATGTGTTAATTAACCAGGGGTGCTGCTGAACGCCATCCTGAGGAATTTCTCCAGAGCTATGGAGGAAGGGAGCCCTCGCAAATTCATTATGTACTCCGCTGTAAGTTCAAAACATTTTAAATCCATCTCACAACAGCTGCACAACATCCGCTCGCCTCCCCGTTTGTTAGCGCTGTGATGTTTGTTTCTCATTGCAGCATGACTCTACGCTCATCACCCTCCAGGCGGCTCTGGACGTCTACAACGGCATCCTTACTCCGTACGCCGCCTGTCAACTCTTTGAGTTCTACCAGGAGTATGATGGGTAATGACGTCCTGCCATCTTCACATCATGTGCATCCTTATCTCTTCATATTTAATGACACGATCTAGGTCAGAGGGCCGAATCACAACACACTTTGAATATTGCAGTTCCCTGTTCAGCAAAACCAATTTTTTCAGTAGGACTTTCCTGGTACTTTTCAATTCTTTAAAAAAATATTACCAGGCCTGCAATGGCCAATTAATCTGTAATGAATAACAGGACAGAGTGCTGTTATGATTCGGTCATATATACGCGAGGCAACAGGGCTATGATATCAAAACCATGCGTATACTTGGGATAACAGCATGTAATATTGTTTTTAGACATCAGTAAACAATTCTAGTAAAACAGCTTTTGTTGTTATTTAATGATTTATTTAGCTCCACCAACACAACTAGTGTTGACTGACAACGCACAGTGTCTTCTATTTTTGCTACTTTTGTGTGTCTACACTTTTACCACAGATCAGCTACTATGTTCATTTTTCTGTATGTTTCTATTTACTGTATGACCAGTAAAATAATATACTATGGATGGTAATCTAGGAAAGACATGAAAACAGTATTCAGAGCATGTGAGGCTGAGTGATAGGCTTGTCCCTGTGCTGTTATACTCTTATTATTGAATAACTGACTCGGTCACATTAAAACATAACTTTTGTATTTTAAACCGTTAACATATCACTTACAACAACTAAGAATCATCTCATGTGTTAATCCCAATGTATACACAGCTCCTATTCTCTGGAGCTGCATTACCGTAATGACTCCTGGCGCGACCCCCACCCAAACCCGATCCCTGGATGCAACGGTTTGAACCCTTGTCCTTTGTCTCTGTTCGATGAGCTTGTGCAAGATGTGTTTGCAGACGACTGGGAAGCTGAGTGTGAGTTTAGGACAAGATGGTCTGGTGCAGGTGAAGTTGTTTTTCTTGTCTATACATACACACATATGTGCATCGTCGTGGCTTCACGTCTCTGCATGTGTACCTGTGTACACTTTCTGAAAGGATGTTGTGGATCATGTGCACTGATTGTCTGATTTAAAAATAGGAAGGCTTTTGGAAATCTACCAAATCTTCCACATTCTCATGTACCTTAACAGGATTGTTGTCCCCCTGCAGGTGTTGTGCCTGCTCTGGCAGTGGCTGTGGGTCTCCTGGCAGTGGCGCTGTTGTTAAGCATAGGAGTGATTATCCGCAGGAGGAGAGCGCGTTACTCCAGGGAGGTGTAGTGCTGACCGCTGTCACATATGTGCCAAAATACAGAGGGGCTTCTCAGCTGTAAAAAATATCTAAATATTAAAATGTGTCTTGTGTTTTTTATATTTTTGATCCTGATTAACGGTGTAAGGAGGTGTTGGTGAGCTCTTGTTTTGAAAAAAAATATATGAAGAATGTACATGAAAACATAAATATTTTAACAGAGAAATAAAATGTGACCAAAATCCTTCAGCAGGCAAGACTACATTTTATTGGATTCACTCTTGACAGTGCATGCTTTACATACTGACATTCAGTGTTTGGTTCATATCATTTCACATTCTTTACTGTTCGGTTTTTCACTTCTTTTCAGGATCTGGAGCAACTGTGGGAGAACAGAGCAGACGATGTGTTGGCCAAAAAGTCATGCTGTTATGTTATGACATGTTGTGATGAGAATCAATTCAATTCAATTCAATTCAATTTATTTTTGTATAGCGTCAACTCATAACAAGTGTTATCTCAAGACACTTTACAAAAAGCAGGTAAAAGACCTTACTTATTGCTATGTTACAAATGCATCCTTTCTTTTTATCCACAGAAATAATTCAGTTTTGTGCATCAAGATGAGATTCTGGACTACAAAATCCAAACTGACCAACCACCTATTGTCTTAATTTTGACTCATTGACTGTATATAAAGATGCGTTTTCTCTCACCATTGTTCCTCTACTTTGCTAATCCGGTGAACACAGTGAAACACAGTGTAAACAAAGCTGTCAATCATTGTGTTACACCCCCTCTGCATATGGCATCAAATAACTCTTTAAAACTGCTTGTCTCAGAAAGGTGAGAAATCAGCATGACAAGAACTGGCTTTTAGTGACAGAAACCGGGCACCTATTTTGATTTTATAGTTTGACCCAAGTCCCATCTTGTTCACATGGAGGAGGGGCGGTTTATAACCTTTTCTGCAGCCATTCAATAGGGGGGCTCCAAATATTTTGGTATAATGTTTGGGTAGCTGCCATGTTGTCCATACAGTCTTTGATTCCACTCAACAAATTACAGGGGCTCCTCCTTTCCCCTTGTCCCTCCCCAAACGTCTGCCTCCCACCTTACAAGCCCCTCCTCTCCCTCTCTTCTCACCTCTAACATCCAGCTTGCACTCCACCTCGTCCGCGCCCAGGTCATTGACAGCCTTGCAAGTGTAATTGCCTCCATCAAAGGCGCTCGGCTTACGAATATTGAGGGTGAGCACACCCTGATGGTTCTGCATCAAGTATTTAGGATCTTCACCGAGGACCCTCTTGTTCTTCATCCAGACAATCTTTGGCTATGAAAAGTAATTTAAAAGTAAAAGTACAATGAATCGATATCTTACATTAGATAAAAAAATAGTTTTATAGTAGTCTGTTTGGCCTTTCACTACTTTGATGTACCATACTGATCTGCAGTATCAATCAGTTTTCCTTATAACCAGCGGCACTATAAGCGTCCTCCAATGAATCACACTCCACAGTCTGCTTTTACATGCATGTTTACCCTGGGGAAGCCCTTGACGGCGCAGCTGATGGCGGTGCTGTAACCAGCCACTACGGTTCTGTCAACCAGGGGCTGAGTAAACTTGGGCACACAGGACACGTCCTTCTCTATGTATGGGTTCCTTTTGATCTCAAGGCCTAAGGAAGAAGGAAAAAGTCAGTCTACATCAACATACATCACAGCAGAAAGAAGCTACCACACTGGTATAAGAGGCACAAGCAAACACATGTGCACTGTACTGAACAGTTACACACTCTGTCACACCTGTCTTGGTGATGACGGCTGTGTTCTTGCTCATGCGCGCCTCCTCGCTCAGGCCGCAGAGATTCTCGCTGAAGATACGGAACATGTACTTGTTGCCCATGATCAGATCTGACGCTGTGCAGTTAGTCCGTCTGTTGTGATCATAAACAGTGAACCATTCCTGGAGGAATGGTCAAACAGGTGACGTGATTAAATGAAAAAAACACAAAGTGTTGTTGAGCTGCAGGTTACTGTGAGGGAGATGTCTCACCTTGGTCTTCATGTCTGCCTTCTGGATCGTGTATCCAGTAATCTCACAGTTTCCATTATCCTTGGGGGGGTCCCACTCCAGAGCAGCGTTGAAGCCCCACACTTCTGTCACCTTCACGTTCTGAGGAGGTCCGGGCAAGTCTTAATGGATGAATATAATCGTCAGTATCAAGTGTGGGTAGTAACAGTGGAAACACATCTTTGTTGTCCTATGGTTAAGTTTTCAGGTTTTCTACACAACTTGAAGCTGATACGATAACACTTTAAATTAAGATCACATTATTCACCATTTACAAGCTGCTTATTAGCATGCTAATTATTAGCATACTGACTGCTTATTAGTCAATATTAAGCGCTTGTTAGTATCCAACAACTTCTTAACTTAATATCAATATGCAGTTATTAGGAGGGTATTGAGGGCAAACCCTTAGTTAGAGAACTATTAGCTATAGAGTAATAGAGAGAAAGGTACCCATAAGCACTCAATAATTACTATTTAGCAGCCGGTACGCTACTTATTAGCATGCTAATAAACTACTAGTTAAAGGTCAATATTGTGACCCTAATTTAAAATTTTACCAGGAAAATGTTTGCTTGTAAAACATGAAGGACAAATCACAAAAATAACGACCTTTGGTGCTCTTTAAAACAAAAAAGACAAGCATGTAAAAATGAGAATGGAGAAGAGAGGTCAAACGATTGAGAGATGGCAGTAGGTCTAAAAGTTTATAAATTCAGTGAGCTAAGGAATACAAAAAATGGCTGGTAGTTACCTTTAGAGTGTTATTTCTATTTGTATACTGTGAGTACATTAAGATTCTTTACTTTACATTTACTGCAGTATAGAAGTAGAATCAACACTTCTGCTTTTGCAAGACTCTTCATTTTTAACAAGTATCTATTTTGAAAGACTCTGATCATGTCCATGTTTGACTGCAGGGATCCTAAAAAGCTCACCGATAATCCTGATATCAATAGAGGCTCTGTCTTCCATATTCTCAATCTTCAGCACTAACTCATATTTTCCAGAGTGCTCCCTCTCTGCCGAGCGGATGAAGAGGATGCTGTCAACATTTGAGTTACGGACACTGACCATCTTCTCGTCGAGGGGTTTACCGTCCTTGAACCAGGTCGCGATCGGGCGAGGCTTACCCTGTGAGATTAAAAAATCATGCATTGGTCAAGAGAAGAACAAACTATTTGAAGGCATTGACCGTTGGGGAACTGCACCCTACAGTTTTCATACTGGTAGTTAATATTAAAGTATATATCACAGCAGTTCATAGAGAATACAGGACAGATTGTTTCTAACCTGGAAGGGGATGACCAGATTGATCTTTTCTCCTACTTTCCTGATGTACTTAGTTCTCAGGTCACGTGGGAGGCGGATCTTAGGATGTTCTGAAGCGGGAAAAGACAATTTAGTTAAATATATTGTACTCACAAGAATTAGACATACAAAAAGCAGCTGAAAACTTCCATGACAGTGTATGATATAAATGATATGGTATATAATCCCTGATACGTTTACATGTACAGCTGTCTGCTCATGTCTGATGGGGGGAGGGAGAGACTCACCGGTGATCTCACGGATGGTGACGGGCTGACCGAGCAACGCAGGAGGACTGCGTCCGGCCATGTTTACCGCCACCACCCTAAAGTCGATCTTCTCTCCAACAGGGAGGCCACGCACCACAAATCCCTGCCTTTCACACAGTTCCTGGTTTGCCACCACCCACTCAGTGTCTGCGATAAAAGACAATTACATGCTGTAAATCACAGCCAGTGGGATTTCAATTGCTTATGATATTTCTAAACTTTCATTACACATATTCATTGCGATTGTAAATGATCTATTTAATACACTTATTCTCTTATTAAATTTATGAGTGAAGCGGACTTTTTTCGTTTTTAAGCGATTAACTCCAGCAGTTAAATAAATGTCCTTTAGTTATAATTAGAATTTAAACTGTTGTTAAATGGTCCATGAATGTTGGAATTATTCTTTTTCTTATCACCTCCTTCCTTGCAGTATTCAATGACGTAGCCGTCCAGGCCTCCGGCTCCGATCCTCTCCGGAGCGAGCCACTTCAGGGTGCATGTGCTGTCTGTCACATCATGCACCGACAAACGCGTTGGCTCGCTCGTTGGGGCTAAGGGTGACAGAAAGGGACACTCAGGAGAATTACTGGGTGACTCAAGATGGGTGATGCCCGAAGGGCGGAGAAGCAGAGAGAAAAAAGAGGGAATGAAGATGGACGTTTTACATACCAAGAGGCATGAAGGGCTTGGAGCTGAGACTCGGCGGAGACATGCCGATGCTGTTGATTGCGAACACCCTCATCTCGTACATGACGCCTTCAATCATCCTCTTAGCCTCATATGTGGTCGATTCGTACACATCAAAGTTGAGCTTAGTCCACCTGGAGGAGCCTTTCTTCTTCCTCTCCATGAGGTAACCTGAAGAGAAAAAAAAATAGACAGCCTTTAAATTAAAGTCACATCCCACATAGAGCGGACGTTACATCAAAAGTTCAGTGTGTGTGTGTGTGCAGATGGGAGACACGGATGGGTTGGGAACTACGGTTATAAGGGATGGGGTGGGTTTGGGTAGGGATCTGGACCACAGAACTTTTTGCACTAACTTTGGTAATTGTTGTAACACTGTATTTTTCTGTGCAAAAACCAATAAAAAAGTTTGGATTAAAAAAGGTTCAGACCAAATCCATCCATCACCTTTAAGAGGAGCACCACCATCAAACTTGGGGGGCTCCCAGATGATGGAGGCGCAGTCCTCTCCCACTGATGTGCAATGCACGTTCTCAGGGGGGTCAGGCACATCTGAAAAGGATAACAACATACATTAGAGAAGTCTTTAGAACAGTTAAAGAAGATACCTGCTGACTTTATACTTCACTTACCCACAATCTTCACAAACAGCACAGCCTTGTCCTCTCCAGCAGGGTTGGTGACACAGATGGTGTAGTTGCCCTCATCCTCCCTCTCTGTCCCCTCAATGACGAAGCAGCTCAGGTCTTTCCTGGACTCGACCCTTACACGCCCCTCAGTTTCTGTAACTGGCTAAGGAACAGGAAATGACAGCAATAAGCACCAAGAGGGGTTACTTTGTATTAGTCATTAAAATGACCAAACATATTCACATGGCTGCCATTTTTCTCCTGACCTCTGGCCCAGGGATTGAGAAGTGTCTGGTGAAGTCTGGGTGAGAATGACTAAATGGGTCAGAAACCTTACTTTGGTAGCAGCACTGTACTTTGAACAAATTGGCAAATAGGCTGATCATTTTTGTAGTGTCCCAAAAAAGGATAAAAAAAAAAAAGA